GTCTTCTGTGATCAGCTTTGGTTAAATGATCTTTGTTCTTGTTTTTCAGCCAGTAGATGTCTTCTGTGATCAGTTTTGGTCAATGATCTTTGTTCTTGTTTTTCAGCCAGTAGATGTCTTCTGTGATCAGCTTTGGTTAATGATCTTTGTTCTTGTTTTTCAGCCAGTAGTTGTCTTCTGTGATCAGCTTTGGTTAATGATCTTTGTCCTAGTTTTTAAGCCAGTAGATATCTTTTGTGATCAGTTTTGGTCGATGTTTTTGTTCTTTTTTTTTCAGCCAATAGATGTCTTCTGTGATCAGTTGTGGTCAATGATTTCTGTTCTTGTTTTTTAGATGTCTTCTGTAATCAGTTTTGGTCAATGATTTTTGTTCTTGTTATTCAGCCAATAGATGCCAAGGATGATGTCTTCTGGGATCAGTTCTGGTCAGAAAGTGTGCAGAATGTACAAGATGTTTTCACTCTCATCCCTGCGGCTGAGGTGAGGGCTGTGAGGGAAGAATCACCCTCCAACCTTGCCACCTTGTGCTACAAGGCTGTTGAAAAACTTGTGAAAGCTGCAGATACATTATGTAACACCCAGGGACAGCAACAAACAGGTATTGTAACTCAGCTTTTGTTCCTGTAATATTGTTGTGTTGGTTAACAGAATAAAAACTGTTTTAAAACATGGATTTTTTATTTGAGACTTCAGTTATTTCTAAGTAATCACTAAGAGACACAATTTTATAAAATGTTAAGTCTTGGAAAATTAGTTTATCTTGTATGTTTTTCAGATGTGATATATAGGTATATTTTTGTCCGTTGGGTGACTTTTGTGAGTTAAACCAGTAAAAGAATTACATAGAGTTTGATGTCAAATTCTCAAGGATAGATTGTAAATATTGGTTTCAGAGATTTGTTTGTAGTCCGTAGAGTGAATCACCTCATGCCATCAAGTTGTACATGTAACTTTATTCTCTAGTGTAGCGCAGTTAGCATCATTTGTAAACTTTACAACTTACCACAGAGTTTAAACTTGTGGAAATGTTAAAGGAAGAAACAGACACATTTGTTATTGTTACATGGATTATTTTCACCCACCAATGAAAGAATTTTACAACATACTGTTAGAATAGTTTGACGTCTTGAGCTTTTATCCTTAACTTTCTTCTCCTGCCAAATATCTTACTGAGCAGGTTAGTAAACTACAAGACCTATATTTGTTAAACCTTTCAACTGAACATTGTTGGTAATGAGCTTTTGTCTTGAGCTTTTATCCCTAACTTTCTTCTCTTGCCAAATATCTTACTGAGCAGGTTCGTAAACTACAAGACCTATATTTGTTAAACCTTTCAACTGAACACTGTTGGTAATAAGGCTGCTGAACTGGCAGTTCAATCATTGTAAGTTGTTAACTGGTTTTAGTAGTTCTAGTTAATTATATAGGCCACCTGCATTGATGTAGTTATTTTTATAGTCTGATGTAGGTACCTTATTTAGAACAGATAGCCCATGTGTGACTTTGTGCAAATATTCAAGATAAACCAAAAAGTTATTCATTTATATACACTACTGTGCATTAATTAGAGAACACCATTCAGATTTTTGTGTAGATGGTGTCCAAGATGAAATACAATAATATAAAACCCTTGTTTATTTAAATACCTTCCAAGCTATGTATTTGTTTTAAATGAAGTTTAAAAAATATGGTGTAAGAGTGACAATAGCTATGTTTGTGAAAACTGGGACTTGTACCTTTTAGACATAATGCTGTGGCTATTATGTAGCATTATTATATAGCATTCCACAAATATATTAATTTTGTATTTTAAAAGTATTAAAACACATTTTTATCTATGGATTATAGTTATTTGTTTATATAAAAATTTTCTCTAGTCTGTGACTGTAACATTATTATTTTAATTTCACGTATGAAGTATGACTCTAAGACGTGTAGTTCATGATGAATATAAGATGTCATAATAACTTTATATTAAGAGGTCTGTAGTCAGTGGGAAATTTTTGCAAACACAAAAGTATTGAAAACGGGAGTTCAAAAAATAATCAAACGATACAATAAAACTTGTGCTTTAATATTCAGGCATACTATGTGTTTTCTATGGTCTCATTTGAATGTAGAATTTTTCACAGTTTTTGTTCTTCACATAACCCACTAAGTGGTTGAGTTTACTTCATTCTAGCAGCCTTGTTTCATTGTATGGAGATAACATTTCAGGGAAGTAGGAAGCCAGTTAGCCTGACCACCTTGTTTCACTGTATGGAGATAACATTCTTGTTCCTGATCTAGAGGGAATGCGTTACTGGAAATACAGCTCAAGGGAAGAAAGCCAATCTAATCCATTCACGAATCCAGTGAAATGTGACTGCTTAGCATTCAGAAGAAACTATACATACTGGACTTAATAAAAACTGTTTTAGTTGTGTGTTGCACAACATGCCCAATTTATTTATTTCTTTGCTTATACTCAGTTTTAGGTAAATTCAGCATACTTCATAACATATCCTGTCAATCCTCCAGTTGTGTAGTAGTCCTACCTAATACTGTATGAGGAAATCAGTTTTACCACTGATGGCAAGAGCAGACACAGAAGATTACCTAAGCTTTCCAGATCAGATGTTAATAAGTAGCTGACCACCTAAGCTTTCCAGATCAGATATTATGTAACTGACTATCTAAGCTTTCCAGATCAGATGTTAAGTAGCTGACCATCTAAGCTTTCCAGATCAGGTTTTATATAGCTGACCACTTAAGCTTTCCAGATCAGATGTTAAGTAGCTGACCACCTAAGCTTTCCAGATCAGATGTTAAGTAGCTGACCATCTAGGCTTTCCAGATCAAATGTTATGTAGCTGACCATTTAGACTTTCCAGACCAAATGTTATATAGCTGACCACCTAAGCTTTCCAGATTAGATGTTACATAGCTTATGTTTACTTCATTCAGAGACAGGCTTAGATCTAGCATCTACTTACTCCAAAAAAATCATGGAACTAGGAAATAGTGTTAAAGTTGACTCTTCCTCAAGTTTTATCAAGAAATGTTAAAAGAACATCTTTTATCCTGAAAGATAAAAAACAACTAAGTTTTCTAAACTCACAAAAATTGGATGTGTTTGTGGAGAAGAATATCTGATGAATCAGTTTGAAATTTTTGAAACCAGTAGACCACAGTATGTTTGTCACAGGAATGAAGAGAGATTAAAGAAAAATTTTTTGCAATTTCCAGTTAACTGTGATTGAAGTAGCATCCGAGTACGAGGCTTTTTAACCAAAGCTGGAGTTGGTGATCTGATGGAGTACTGGATTGTATGCAATATGAACAAGTACTCCTTCATCATGCTGTTCCTTTTGGAATTGTTTTTAGTGAGAAAATTTCATTTTCTAGCGTGATAACAATCCGAACCATATGGTGAACACACTTAAATAATGTATGTTAATAGAAAGGAAGCAGACCTCAGTATTGTTGAACGTGTATGGGATTATCTTTGAGGCAACAAAAATGAAATGAACTCTAGGTAGTACTTCAAGGTGTTTGGAATTTAATTCCAGCTGATAATATCCAGAAGCTTAAAGGAACATTCTTCATCAGGATCATTTAAGGTCACACAAAATATTCCAAAAATGAACTCTTAAGTTTATTTGAGAGACATTATAAAGTTCTGAAATACCTGCATTTCTCAGCATATTTTAAATTTAAGATAGGTGGTGATGAATGTGTGGTCCCTATATATACACACACACACACATATCTCTCTTTGATTTTGCAGACATGTTTGCTAAAATAGGAAATAGTGTTCTTTCAAAAAACACAGAGAAGGTTGAAGTAATTACAACTTACAGTTGTCTTAAGGAGAACTACAAATTATTAAGTGAAGGTATCATAGTGGTACATTGGTTAGTGCTGAGGGGGCCTTTTGCTCAGTACCAGGGCTCATTGGACAATCCACAGAAGTCTTCAGTCAAATATGGTCTAATTAGTGTAAACTACTTCTTATAGATACAAAACAAGAAAATATTTTGTTGTAAAGTTATATATATATATATATATATATATATATATATT